TCCGATTCTTTATGATTTGGTAATTAATGGTGTTTTTTTAGAGAGAGAGTGAGAGGGGGAGGGAGAGAGAGACCCCTTGCATATTAAATATTAGTTTATTTATTTATTTATTTATTTATTTATTTATTAAAAAGTAAGTGAATACCTCATAAATGGTCATTGTGTAGTGAAATGACAAAAATGCCCCTGACTTAACGGCTAAATGGTAACGGAGTTAGCTGGAAGGACAAAATGTTAAAAGTTTTGAAACCTAGGGACGATCCGTGAGGTTTTTGTAAATTAGGGACCAAACTTGATATTTTCGAAAACCACAGGGACCATTTTTGAAGTTTTGTCAAAATTTTAAAATCAATTTTTTTTAATAAAAAAAATTCAGCTATTTTGTGTTAAAAGGTGCGATTTTTTCAAAAAAAAAATTGTGAACTCTAAGTACTTTTTTATGCATTTTTATGATTTTTAGGGTTTTTGTTTTCCATAGAACCTATATATATATATATATATATATATATATATATATATATATATATATATATATATATATATATATATATATATATATATATATATAAGGACGCTAAAAAACAAAAAAAAATGTAAATCTTTATTCGGTGGCAGTGGTTTTTATAGTTAGATCAAATAGAAGGGAAAAAAACAGAAAAAAGAACCCAACCCACTCCACTCTAATAACCACCCCTACATGTTCACACTTGAATCGACATCTACATTTATATCTACATTGATACCCACGCTCACATGTATATGCACACGTCAACGCTAACAAGCCCACACTAACCCCACCCCAACCCTACAACCATGTCCACACCATATCCATACAGACTCATCCATATATACACCCTCACCATGATAGTCATATACCCACGCCCACACCCACCCAACCCTACCCTACCCTCATACCTACTCCCACTCCTACCCATCCTACCACTACCCACCCTAACACGTACACCCATACCCATACCCGTATACCATACACACATGTACATGTCAACACCAACACTGATGCCCACTCAACCCAACCATGTACCTCCGCCCATACACAGTTATTCACACCCATGCTAACAAGCTTGCATAGGTTTGAGTGGTTTAGAGTTTAATTAATGAAAGTTTTATCTTATATAATTAAAATAATAATAAACTACAAAAAAGAAAAAATCAATAAAAGCTTTTCTTGGTCATATTACACAATATACTTTCTAATACCTTTGACAAACTTGCAAGCCAAACGCATAACAATTCGAGTTCTTTCAGACTCCAATTCCTTAGTAGATTTCATTCCCTCCAAAAAACATTATTTGAACCAAACACCCCTTAAGAATATATTGTGATAAAATGGGGAACTATGTTGCGATGTTCTTTATTTGTAGTTGATGTCAAAACCAGCTAACTATGAGAAAAAAAGAGCTTTATCATAAACCTCAACTCGATAATGATTGGTTAAGATGTGACAAATATATTATTGTCTCATCTACTTTAAATATGCTAGAAATCACTAGCGATGTTCTTTATTAAGGTTTTATTTTTATTTTTTGTCACCATTCACACTAAGAGCATCCACAATAGGGTGTTAAATGGAAGAGTTGAATGGGGTGTCTTGTCATTCAATGGATACAACTCCACTATTGTAAAATGTTATCTTGGCATTCAATGAATTTGGAGTTCAATGGTCATTGAACTCTTCAACGGGAAAAAGGAAAGTCTTTAAATCTTTAAATAAATGTTTTTTTAATATGTTCCATTATGGGATAAAAATGAATAGAGTTGTTTGGAATAGTGAATGATGATGTGTCACTCCATTGAACTCTATAGAGTTCAATGCATTGTGGATGCCCTAAGATTATGCGATATGTCTCTAACTCACATTAATTTATACGTATGTGGCATATGTTACATCACCCCCTCATATGCCCCCTCATATGTTATGTAGAATGACCGCTTGTTAAGCTGGTAACATTGCTAAACGCCCCTCTCTCTCTCATCACCCCCTCATATGCCCCCTCATATGTTATGTAGAGTGACCGCTTGTTAAGCTGGTAACATTGCTTAACGCCTCTCTCTCTCATAATATTTTTTTATTAAAAATTAGGAGTGTTTTGGATGGTGGAATGTTTTTTAGGCTATGGGGAGTGGTCATATCCAAAGTCACTCAAAAAGTGTTGTCAACTCAACGACATGTCAGTTCCACTACAAACTTGCCACCAAACAACTAGACATTGGAAATAGTTACCACTTCATAATATTTATCTTTTTCTTTTTTATTTTTTTAACATTAAATTAAATAAAAAAACTTATTTTAAAACATAAATAAATACTTTACATTAATTAAAACCACATTACAGTAATTAAAAAAAAAAGAATTTTAAAACCTAAATTACTAAAAAAAAAAACATAAAAAAACATAGAAAAATCAACCTAAATTACTACAAAAAGACATAGAATCTAGTTGTTATATTTTTCCCGAACTTGTTGTTGGATTTTTAGAAACGCGGCTAGATTTTTCGGGTCGATTCGGTTGTGGCAATTTGTGTTTAAAATTTGAAGATCGGTACGTGTCATTTTTCGATGACGAGCTTCCTCGGTTGATTCAATTTTTTTCTAGAAAACTTAGAGTATTGTTTATTTTTTCCGCAAGCACGTCTTGGCAAACCACTTATCCACTTGAAGACCCCACCTTTCTCGATTTGTCCCTTCGTGGTGGTCGACGAAGTTGGACTTACGGGGGACCCTCCCCCTCGGTGTCGTCGAACTCATCATTGAGGTTGAGGCCAAAATCAACGTCGGACTTGGAAGATCTTAGCCTTTTGTTGGATCCGATGGTAGATCTCTATTGTGTTGTCTCCGAATAAATGACCCGTTTTGGACCGTTACAACAAAATTTTCATGTTTTTTGGTTGCCGAATGGTTTACCATTATTGGTAATTTTGTATTAGTAGCATGCAGTCGATAAAATATTCAAATCGTTGCTACCACTTTTGTGCTGATTTTAAAATTGTCAAATATACCGTTAAATTTTGTGCAAGGCACTCGTAGGTCACATCATTTTGCATTGACTGAGTCGTATATCTGCTCTGTTTCCTTTCCTAATAGCACATGAAAATGGTCTAGAACATGATTTTAAAAACTTTGACCTGATTGCTCGTTCCCGGTGTCACCATCTTGCGATATAAAAATTCAAGCTTTAACTAAAGTTTCCTCCTCGTCTTCAGTCCATTGTGTAGTTCTCTTTTTTTTGGTTCTTTTCCTTTTTTTGCCTTCTTCGAATTGGATGTTGTGTTTCTTGGACCTGTTCATTGTCGTGGTCGATGTTTATAAGTTGAGATTGAGATAATATGATTTAAGATGGTTGTAAAGGTTGTGCGTAAAAAATTGTTGAGGTTGAAAATACTAGGGGTTGAAATTGTGAAGAAGGTTGTTGAAAGACTTGAAATTAAGGTTGATTGAATTTTGGTGGTCGTTGTTGTTAGTAGTAGTTTGGGTGGTATGAAAGATTGGTGAATAGATATTATTGGATTGAAGATGTTATCAATTGCATGTAATTAAGATTTGCATATGGATTATTTGGAATGTTTGGGGTGTTTGGACTTGGTAGTAGTTTGGATGGTATGAAAGATTGGTGAATAGATATTGTTGGATTGAAGATGTTATCAATTGCATGTAACTAAGATTTGCATATGGATTATTTGGAATGTTTGGGGTGTTTGGACTCGATGGTGTATTTTGATTTGGATCCATAGGTTGAATAAAATAAAAAATATAGAAAGAGATTGTGTGTTTTTTTATCGTAAAATGTGTGTAAAATAAGTGGCATTTATAGTTGTTGTATATGGTTTTTAAATTAAAAAAGAACTTTTTTTTTGGGTCCAAAGAGTAAAAAAGAAAAAAGAAACAAATTAAGGAACTGGTCAATTTTGATTGTTGTTGCCCTCCTCTTCCTATTGGTTGTCTTCAAGGGTCTTCCCATCCACCTCACACCCAAGTCACCGGACACCCACCGGGGCGGTGTTTATGCATGGCTTATGGTGCCACCTAGGCACTCACGTGTCTTCTTGTGTACCGTTCCAGACAGCCTTATGGTAAGTGGTTGTGAAGTGGTGCGGTGTTATGATGTTATGGGTACCCGTAGCCTAATTACAAAGCCTAACAAACACTGATCACATTAGATTACTAGGTGTGAACCCCATGTATTATATAGGTGTATTTAAAACAATTAAATATGTATAAACATTTGAGAAATTTAAATTTATAAGAAAAATGAGAAAAATATTGATTTATTAAAATTAAAGTGTTTTTTTTTCTTTTTTAAATTTAAACAAATCATTAAGATAAAATAATCAAAGCAAATTAATGAGATTTTATTTTAAAATTTCGAAATTATAAAGAAAGTTCATTAATAAAATTGATATGCATTTATTATTAAATTTAAATACCATATGGAATTTAATAAAATAGAAAAACCACAAAATTACATATGGAATAAAAATTAATTCAAAATAACCACAAAATAACATGTGGCAAAATAAATGAAAGTATGATAAGTGGCAAAAAAAAACCTTCATTTATTAGAAAAAATGTATTACATGGGTGTATTTAAAACAATTAAATATGTATAAACATTTGAGAAATTTAAATTTATAAGAAAAATGAGAAAAATATTGAATTATTAAAATTAAAGTGTTTTTTTTTTCTTTTTTAAATTTAAACAAATCATTAAGATAAAATAATCAAGGCAAATTAATGAGATTTTATTTTAAAATTTCGAAATTATAAGGAAAGCTCATTAATGAAATTGATATGCATTTATTATAAAATTTAAATACCATATGAAATTTAATAAAATAGAAAAACCATAAAATTATATATAAAATAAAAATTAATTCAAAATAACCATGAAATATAACAAGTGGTAAGTGTCTATTTGTGGTGACACGCGCGTAACTTTCTTGAAAAATTTCCTTCAATCCAAATGTCTAATACTATATATATGAATGGACACAGATTTGGCTCATTATATTGCCAAAACTTATCCAATGTTAATCGGTGAAAAAGATGGAAATGGGATGACAGGTCTTCAACTTCTTGCCTGCAAGCCGTCAGCATTCAATCATGGATTTGAAGATAATTTCTTCAAGCGGTTCATACGCAAGTGTATGATACTAATTAAGGCCCCTTTATTACGACGACAAGACAAGACAAAACAAACTCCCTTGTATTGTCAATTGTGTGTGACATGCATTTATGAGACCAAAATTACAATTATTTGTCTCATTTAAAAAGGTGGGACAAGGATTCACTAATCATCCTAATCACTGAAAGTCCTAGAAAGCTTATATATAGTCTTGTCCCATATAAAAAGCACAATTTAACATACTCTTGTCAACATACTTCCAACTTGCAAGTCTGCTAACATAACAACACTCGTAACTTCTGGACTTTTGTTTCTCAGTCATTGATTTGAATCATAAAGAACAAACCAGCAGAGTGCCTTTCCTGAAAGAACTTCAGAAACAAATTCTCAAGAGTAAATCAGCAAAGACACTTGCCACCCTTTTCATTGAAAGTGATGCCTCATGGGAAGCAACAGCACCCATGTCAAATCAGAACAGAATTAAACTCATCCAAGGGATAATGTCTTCAAGAATAAGTATTGTTATTTTTAATAATCCTACTCGTGACTCCCCATTGTTTTTAGCTACAAAATCAGGTTGTACAGAGATTGTAAGGGAAATACTGCAAGTGTATCCTCAGGCGGTCGAGCAGATTGATGAGAATGGGCGTGACATTTTGCATGTGGCAATTCAATATCGAAGAATGGAAATCTATAAAGCTGTGATCAATATGAAGTATCCTTTGATGAGGCTAAGAGGAGAGATCGACAATCTAGGCAACTCAATACTGCACATGGTGGGCCAAAAAGTTGAAGATCAGAAAGCTGAGGTGGATATCCGAAGCCCTGCTCTCATACTACGAGATGATTTGCTTCTATTCGAGGTAAATGTAAATGACAGATTATAATGGATTGGACAAATTTACTATGACTATTTTTCATCATTCTCATCTTTTGTACAGTTTATCTCATTGATATCAGTTTAGATACCAGTCCAGTCGAATCCATGCCAAATCCACTACCATACTAACCTTTCTGAAGTCTTTTCATCTTCTATCCAGAGTGTGAAAAATATATGTACCACTGAAGCAATTTCTCAGGTAAACGACGATGGTGTGACAGCTGAACAACTATTCATCAAGAACAATGCACAACTTCACATCGATGCCAAAGAATGGATGAAGAGCACTGCTGGGAATTGCTCCGGGTTTGCTGTGCTCGTTGCCACTGTTGCCTTTGCTTCATCTTTCACTCCACCTGGAGGTTCAGAGCCAGATACAGGACGTCCAATTATGGAGGGCAACTATTTTTTTATAGTCTTTTCTCTAGCTAATGGACTTTCCCTCACATTTTCTTTGACATCAGTTATCGTATTTCTTTCCATCCTTACATCTTCCTTCCGCTTAAAGGAGTTCCAGAACTCTCTTCATAATAAATTACTCTTAGGCCTCACACTGTTGATACTCTCTGTGTCAATGATGATGATATCATTCGCAGCCACGATTCTCCTAGGCAGTGGTAAGTGGCAAGATTGGACAAACATTATCTTGTATATAGTTACGTTTTTCCCAGTCATTGTGTTTGTGCTCTCATACGTAAGTCTCTACAAGTTGCTCATTAAAGTGTTTGAGGAAAGTCTAAAGAAGGTTATAGATTCAATATTGCCTGGCCGTGATGTGGAATTGCACCAGCCTTCTCAAGCTCCAACTACTATTTTCACCAAAGCAACCACGAGTTCTTTTGTTTGATCTTTTGGATGTTCTTCTTTAAGTAACTCTTATATATATGACATTAAGCATGTACTATGTGCATTTTTGTTTTATTCAGATAACTTGTTTTTGGATTTTTGTCCTGATAGATGTTAATTAAAAACAAGTCACGACAAGAATGAACCCGTATGGCGACGACTTCTTTTAACCCTATGTCGACGACAAGTCGTCGGAACAGCCTCTAAGCATCAATGTTTTAAAAACCAGTTTTTAATTGAACCAGTCCAGTTTCCGACCACCGGTTTAACCCAGATGCCATAATTTTTATATATTTTATAGTTTCCTACACATATGCATTATAAAAACAAATATTTTCTTACATTTGACAATGGTGTGCGTCAAACCTTAAACCTATGTACATTCATGTTAACCTAAGCCATTGAGTTTTTCAACTTTATTTTTTTGGAAATGGATTGTTTTTTAAGTGAAATCTGAATATCCAAGTCCAATAAATCAATACAAACGGTTTTTACTGATTCTATGACACCGATTTAACCTAGTTAACCTAATTGATCGAGCGGTTTTCGAACCGCTCCTGTCCCTGGTTTCCCGGCCGGCTGATTCAAACTGAGTTTTGAAACATTAATAAGCATTGAGTTTGATGTGTCTAATAGAATGTGTTTAAAATATAATTGGTCATTAATCATTTGGCAAATTTATAAAGTTACAATAGGGAATTTTTAACCTTATCTATATAATACATAAATATGGAAACTATCTACTAAAATAAGTATCAAAATCAAAGGGTCTTTGGGCTAGCCATATCAAAATTTGATGGATAAGTGCCCGTACCAAAGAGTTGAGGATTCAAATATCATTGTAAATAAATGTATAGATTTAAGAGTAGGGTAATGAATGTGTGTAAACCGTTCTAAAAAAAGATACATATGGAAACAATCTAATGCCTATCATATTTTCTTAAGCTAGTCTCTAAATTGTATACTCAAACATTAGGTACTTAGGTCGAAGAGGATCATAGAATCTCCTCAACAATCTTTCTATCTTTGTTATTCACATTTAACTTTAGTTGATTTATAAAGGGCCCTATAAAAACACCTGGCAGAAGCGATCATGGACAAAAGAGGCCAAAAGAAATTAACGTTCAAACGACCATAATTTTTTATCAATCAGAAGTTTGGAGGCCCATGTTTACATTATCGGAAAGCTCCTAACATCTTTGGAAACCCCCTCGGCCGATCCCCAAGTTTCATTGTTTAGTTCTCTAAATTTCAATTTTCCAAAATGTTTGCATATTTGCCTATTTACTTTTGTTAGTGTTGATTGTAAAATCACGTGATCGATATGTTAAAAGGTAATATAATGCAAACTTGTCATTTATAAAAGAATGGTCTTAATATGTTATTTATTTAATTGTCGAGGGGTGTTGTGGTATCTTTTGGTATTGCAGGTATGATTTATATGCGGGTTGCTTAACCCGGGTCCGGTTTTCCCCGGTGTATTTAACGTTGGTTTTCTTCTCATTCGAGGAGTTCAGATGATAAGTTTTACTCTCTCACTTGTATTGTTCTCTCTAGTTTGGATTTTGTATTAGGGTTTCTGTTCATATTCTTCTGTTCCTGTTTCAGTGAGTTCTTGTTGATCATTATGTTGGAATAGTGTCTAAGGCTGCAACTATATTAGGCAAGTATTTGATCCGGTTGTGCATGGTCCTTTTGGGTTGCCTTCACCATAGCAACTTGAAGGATGATTTGTTAAGAGAGAGTAAATATTATAAGGAATAATATATGGCTATTTGATTAATATAAGTCATAAATTAATTGGTATTAATTTGGTGACTTAAAGAGATTAATTAAATAAGAGGGTATAAACTGTCAATTGGTTGATAATTACACTTTAGACTATGAATCCTTATCCTAGATAGGATGGACGATTTCTAGGGCTTGGATAAGCCAAAATCGTCCATAGGGTTATCTATGGAATGGATTTGGATAGCCTTAAGAGAAGATTATCCAATTAGGGTTTAGGTTGTAACCCTTAAGGAGTCTACAAGTATAAATAGACCCTAGGGGTGAGGGAATTCGACACACCATCTAAAGTAGAGACACTCTGGCCGAATTCCTCCCCTCTCCTCTCTCCTAAATCATCTTGCTTGCTATTGGTGTTTGTAAGCCATTAGAGGAGTGACATTTGTGACTCTAGAAGCTCCAAGACAACAAGATCAACAAGGAACTCAAAGGTATGATTCTAGATCTGTTTCAATGTTGTTATTTAACCTAATTAGCTATTAGAAGTCTTGGATTCAAAGCATGTTTAATTAGAAAGCCTAGATCCAAGCATTAGGGTTTTGCATGGGCACATAGGAAAGTTCTTATGGCTAAAACTCATCAGTGGTATCAGAGCCTAGCTTGGTTTTCTTTAAATTGTTGCTTGATTAACTGAAACAAACCTGGAAAATTGATTTTTGGGTTTTTGAGTCACTGACTCGGCGAGTTCCAAGGTGGACTCGGCGAGTAGGCCTGACTCGGCGAGTCCCCTTGCGTACTCGGCGAGTCCGGGCGTCAGGATTAGGCAAAACCGGGATTTTTTCATATTTATCTTATGGAAACTTACCTTAATCATATTAGATCAACCCTAATCCGAATTTTTGATATATATGACTATTATCTTGATCTAATTAAAGATATTTATCATCTAATAAAAATATTTAATTTCCTTATATGATAATGATTAATTATTTTGATAATTATCTTAAAAGAAATCTTGGATAAATCAAATAAAGATAATTAGGATATTAATTGTTAATTGGAATTATTTGTTATTTGATCCTTCATGTTTTAAATGTTTAAAACCTACCCTAAAGTTTTGAAATTTATATTTGTGATTAAAAGTTTTAATTTAGACAACTTAAATTTCAAACCCTAGATTTTGAAAAGTTTTAAAATACAACCCTATACTAATATGATATTACTAGAATAATATATATATGTATAACTAAATGCTAGTCTTACCGTTAGTAGGCCTCATTCACGAAGCCGATATATAAGGTGGGTATAAGGTTGCGGCCTATAAAATGGCGCTTAATGGGTGTACACTCACACCCACCGCTTGCTTGATTGGTGGAGGGTCGTTAGCCGAACGGGTAGGATAGGGCAACCTCATCCTCTCATTAAAAGTATAATAAGAAATACAAAGTAACTACACGTTTTAAAATTTTCCCAATCTTAGTTACATTAGGAAAAGTGAATTGATGCAATCCCATGAAATTACACTTTGCACCTTGCTAAGAAGTCAGTGGCGCGTGTGTGGTTTACCGGCACGCTAATTGGTTCTAAGCGAAGGTGGCAAAGGGTGATTCATTGTTTATCATAGTTTGATGGAGCGTGTGTGGTTTACCGGCACATCGAATAGGTGATCGTTACAATGAAGGCACCATGTGAATTTGCATGGTAATTCACACCCGCTTTGTGATCCTCGGCATCCCAGTCACAAACAAGAGGGGCATATCGAGATTTAAACATGCCATTGAATAGTTCAATGAATCTCATCCGAACCTAGGAATTCTCAAAAAACACTTAGGACTAATAGTTTAAGTTTTGTAATGGAGAATTAGTGAATCGTCATTCACTTACCTTCAATTTATTTGCATGTTAGATTACGGCATCCCTTTTCTAGTATGTAAATGTTATTGTTGGATCCTAGCCCTAATTTTTCTTATTGGGTGATAATTAGGGATTCTTATTCTAATCTATCTTTGTCCTTTTTATAGATGTCGAACGCAAACAACGCTGCTGCTAGTTCTTTCACGTTGATGAGCCTTTGCCAAAAGGTCACCTTTGATGGAATGAACTTTAGCGAATGGATAAGATACATTTGCACCATTGCTCGATATGAGGATAAAGAGTATGTCCTCGATGAGAAGCTCGAGAAAATCAACCCCGAAGTTGCTACTCCCGAAGAAATCACCGCCTTCGAAACTCATGAGCGAGATGCAACGAATGTACATTGCATCATGATCGCCACCATGAACTCCGAATTCCAAAAGTCCTACGAGGACATGTATCCATACGAGATGCATCAAGACTTGTTGGAGAGATACCACCAAAACGCGAGACAAGAGCGTTATGAGATTTTCACTAACATGATCTCCGCTAAGATGGGTCATGGAGAATCTCTTACCGTGCACCTGCAAAAGATGCAAAGGTATGTCGACCGCCTTCGCAAGTTAAATGTTGACTTCGGTGAAGACTTGGCGATCGACATGGTGCTTCACTCTTTGCCTCCGATGTACAACCAATTTAGGATGACCTACCACATGAACAAAGAAGAGGTCACCCTAAGCAAACTCCAAGGTCTCTTGAGGGTCGCTGAGAGCAACTTCAAGGACAAGTCTGTTGCACCTACTCCCAATCCATCCGCTGCTCCTGTCTTGGCTATTGGTCAAGGGAAGGGAAAGAAGAGGAAAGCTTCATCGAATAACTATCGCAAGGTGAAAGCCCGAGATGGTGCCTCTTCTAGTGGGACCAAAGTTGATCCCTCTAAGCCCTGCTCCAACCCAAGGGAGGCAGAGTGCCACCACTGCCACAAGATAGGACATTGGAAGAGAAGCTGCCCGGATTACCTGCAAGCCATCAAGGAAGGAAAGATCAAGCCATCTTTCGCAGGTATATACACAATCAAATCTAACGATTCTAATCATGCTATTTCTTGGGTTCTTGATACCGGTTGTGGTTATCACATTTGTTCTAATGTGCAGGGACTAAGAAGAAGTAGGGATGTAGAGCAAGGAAGGATCAATCTAATCATGGGGAACAGAAGATCGTCGCCTGTGACCAAGATTGGAGTGTATTCTTTAGTGCTTAGGAATAGTTTGTTTTAGATTTGAACAATTGTTGCTATTCGCCAGAAATGGCTAGAAACATCATTTCATTTCATGGTTTATATAGACAAGGATTTAGATTTTCTTTTAATAATGAGAATGGTTCTATTTTGGCTTATCTAAATGGTGTCTTTTACTTTGAAGCTATACCATGTAATGGAATATATGAAACTGTTATGATTGT